TCCTCCTCCTCCTCCTCCTCCTCCTCCTCCTCTTTCTTCTTCTTCTTCTTCTTCTTCCTCTTCCTCTTCTTCCTCCTTCTCCTTCCTCTTCTTCTTCTTCTTCTTCTTCCTCTTCCTCTTCTTCTTCTTCCTCTTCCTCTTCCTCTTCTTCCTCTTCCTCTTCTTCCTCTTCCCCTTCTCCTTCCCCTTCCCCTTCCCCTTCCCCTTCCCCTCCTCCTCCTCCTCCTCCTCCTCCTCCTCCTTCTTCCTCTTCTCCTCCTCCTTCTCCTCCTTCTTCTCCTCCTTCTCCTCCTCCTTCTTCTTCTTGGCCCAAGGGCTTGAATCTAGGACCTGGGCACTGTCCCTTAGCCTCTTTGTGCTCAAGGTTTAGTGTTCTACCACTTGAGCCACAGCACCACTTCTGGCTTTTCCTGAGTCATTTATTGGAGAAAAGTCTCACAGACTTTTCTGCCTGGGCTGGCTTCGAGCCATGATCCTGTTTTCAGCCTCCTGAGTAGCTAGGACTACAGGCGTGAGCCACTAGTGTCTGGCTCCTTCGTGTGTTCTTTATATTAATCTTTTATCTGTTGACTAGCTGGTGATGATTTTCTCCCATTTCATAAATTGTCCTTTGGTTCTGGTATTTCTTTTCCTATGCAGAAACTTCTTAATATGACATGTAGTTCAATTTGTTAGTTCTTGTTCTTGTTTTCTGGGCAGTTGGAATCCTATTCAGAAAATAATACCCATGCCTGTAACTTTTAGCACTTTCCCTTAGTAGATAGATTTAAAGTTTCAGATCTCACATTGATTTTTTTGGAGTTGGTTTTTGCACAGGGTGAGAGATAGAGGTCAAGTTTCATCTCCTGCAAGTTGATCAGTGTCTTAGCACCATTTGTTGAAGAGGCTGTCTTTTGTCACATGTGTATTTTTTAGCTCCTTTGCTGAAAATTAGATGTATATACCTGTGGAGCTGTATTCCTGGGTGTTCTATTCCATTGATCTTTGGATCTGTTTTTGTGCCAGTACCTAGCTGTTTTTGTTCTTGTGGTTCTAGAGTATAATTTGAAGTCTGGAATTATGAAACCTCCAGCATTGCTCTTTTAACTCAGAATTGTTTCCTTGAAATATTTGGAAATTTTGTAGTTAATTTTCACTGCCAGCTGTTGTATTATCCCAATGTGTGGACTGTGTTTCTCAAAAAAAGATTATGAACTATTTTCAATATAGAAAAAGAAAAGAATTTAGTATTTCTCCCATCCTCCTACCTATTTAAAATAGCTTCATTGAGGCAGACAATAAGCTTTAACATGAAACCACTGATTTTTAACAGGTGGCCTTGTGAAAAAAATTCTGGAGACCAAGAAAGATTATGAGAAATTGCAGCAGGCGTGCAAGTCTGGAGAGAAGGTATGGAACAATTGTGTGTACACTGGTGTTTTGCAGTCTCTCTCACACATGCCCTTTTAAAAGTGAGAGCTGTCTTTCAGTCAGATGTTAGGCTTCCTAGTGTTTCTCTGATCAGGAAGTTCTTCTGCGTGAATTGGCATTCAACCCGTTCTGTGGAGCAGCAGCTTGACCAGGGAGTCCAGTTGTGTTTGTCCTCATGGCCTCTCCCCTCCTCCATGCCCTGCTTGCAGAGTGATAGCAGGAACCTTACAGGCTGGCACCTACGCATGTGTTTTGTTCATGCCTGGTCTTCTGATGGCTGTGTGCATGGTAGTTTTGGTGGGCCCGTGCTTCCCATCCGTCATTGTCCTTTATGCCACAGTTAGGTTTCTCTTAGAGCTGCTGGAATCAGGAAGAATTTTAAAAGAATGTGGCTTTTTGGTAGAGAGCTTGCCTAGCCTGCAACAAGACCTGGGTTCAGGTCCTTAGTACTACATAAACAGAAAAGGCCAGATGTGGTGCTGTGGTTCAGGTGCTAAAGTGCTAACCTTGAGCAAAAGAAGCCTAGGAACAGTACCAGGCCTTGGGTTCAAGCCCCAGGACTGGCAAAAAAAAAAAGTAAAATATTTTTTTTTATTGTTGTTGGTCCTGAGGCTTGAACTCTGGCCCTTGGTGCTGTCCTTGAGCTCTTCAGCTCAAGGTGAGCGCTCTACCACTTGAGCCACAGTGCCACTTCTGGTTTTCTGGTGGTTTATTGGAGATGAGTATCACAGATTTTCCTTCCCAGGCTGTCTTTGAACTGTAATCCTCAGATCTCAGCTTCCTGAGTAGCTAGGATTACAGATGTGAGCTACCGGGGACCAGCAAAGAATTTTTTTTAACAGAAAAACGTTCTTGGACATTAGCTTTATCAGTCATTAATTCAAAAAAATGTTTATATGTCAGGGTGTATGCACACACCTATTTTTCCCCAGCTGAATTAATAATTGTTCATTTTAGATAATTCTGCTTAAAATGTACTGGCCTGTCACAAAGATAGGACCTTCACTAGCGCACAAGAACTGTAAGGTTGAAATTTAACATTAGAGGAAACCTTTTACCCATAATAAGTAGACAAAGAAGTTGGTCTCTGAAGCTTTGCTGCCAGCCAAGGAGTTTTTATTCTTCTGAAGGAGAAACGCTCTCTGAGATCCATGTCCTGTTGTGGAATTTCACTAGTCGTTTTCATATGCACAAGCATTGTCCTGGGGATGTACCTTCTATGAGGGTACTTTCGAAACTCCTGTTGGTTTACATTTTACAGCTCTGTTTTTCATACAGAGAATACTGGGACTGTGTCTCCAGCCGTCTCTGAAGAGCACCTTTCACATTGGCAGATCTTTTCACTCCAGAAGATGGAAGGAGAAAATGTTTTTGGTGACTGTTTGTCACTTCAGAAGGTTTCACACCTCGGGTGTGCTACCATTGGGTAAACAAGTCTCTGAAGTTTTATGAAGACATCCATAAACATGAGACTTAAGTTTACCTTACTGGTCAAACATTTTCTATTTCGGTATTTTTAAGATAAAGAAATAAAAATATACAGGAAAAATCACAGTGTTTTTTGCCCCTGTTCAGTCCTGTTCCCCTGAAAGAAGCCACTGCATGAGTTTGGTATGTCCCTCCTTGTACATGGACATAGTATTATGTTGTTGACATGTTAAGCAAGCTGCCTTCCTCAGGAAACATGTCTGAGGCTCTCTTTGTTCTGATACCTGTGTATCAAGTGTATTCATTTTATTTTATTTTTTATTTTTTTGGGGTCCGGTTGTGGGGCCTGAACTCTGGGCCTGGGCACTGTCCCTCAGCTCTTCAGCTCAAGGCTAGTACTCTACCACTTGAGCCATAGCACTACTTCTGGCTTTTTTCTTTTTTGCTCATGTGGTGCTGAGGCATCGGACCCAGGGCCTCAGGTATGCAAGGCAAGCGCTCTACCACTGAGCCACCTTCCCAGCCCCAAGTGTATTCATTTTAATTGAAGATTTGTATTTCATTATTATTCCCTTCCCTGATGAACATTTAGTTCCTTGAGCCATTTATTGTTACAATAGGGCTTCCCTGGGCTCCTCCAACAAATAATGTCACACATTACTTGTTGAAGTATCATACTTAAATTATTTTAGGAAGATAATTCTATCTTTGTGTTTGATTCCACCCCTTACTCCCCATTTCCATGTCTCCTGCTGTGCAAGAATCTGTGTCTCTGAGCAGGAATCAGCGAAAATTTTCTTCAGGGGCCTGATAATCTGTATTGCAGGCTTTGAACCATGTGGTCGCTATTGCCGAGACTCAGCCCAGCTGGTTTGTGAGAGCAGTGCAAGCTGACCTCTCTACATGTGTTCAATAACATTTTATCCACAAAGACAGGACAGGACCTGCCAGGCCTCAGGAGGCCACAGCTGTAGATTCCCAGGAGGAGACGCATCTGTCTCCCCACAACTCTATGCCAATCACAGTGAGGGCAGAGAATACACTCACCACCTTCAGAAGGCTCTGTACCCTGCTAATCCCACATTCCACCTCCATGATACCCCACCCCTATGCTCTGTGCTTCTTGAGACTGTGCTGCAATTGAGTGTGAATTGAATCACAGTGTAGTGTTCACCGTTTGGGGGAAGGAGCCTGGCCTCTTTTATTTGTCACAGTTATTTTTGCATCCATCCATGTTGTCTGGGTAGTGAGTATTCTACTGTGTGTTTATCCATGTGTGTGTTTCTCAGTTGGTGAGCATTTGGTTAAGCTGTGACAAACATGGCTGCTGTGAGTATTGGTGTACTAGTTTTTGTGCAGATGAGTGTCTTTGTCGTCTTGTGTAATACCTGCTGAGTTGTGTGCTCAGTGTCTGTTGAGCTTTGTAAGCTGCTGGCAAGCTGTTCTTCAAAAGGGTGGCACAGTGCACCACTCTACAGCCTACCAGCTACAAATGCATACCAGTCACTCCACAGCCTTATGTGGCAGGGCGGGGCCTGCCTTTCTCAGTGGCTAGTGAACATCATTTGACATCCTTGTTTCTTCTTTGGCACAGTACCTATTTTTTTCCTAGTTTTTAATTAGGTTAGGAGTTCTTTTAAAATTCAGATTATAAGTCCATTAGCAGGTATGATATGCAAGTATTCTTTTTTGTTGTTGTTGGTTGTGGGGCTTGAACTCAGGGACTGGGTTGTATCCCTGAGCTTGTTTTGCTCAAGGCTACACTCTGCCACTCTGGTTTCTGGTGGTTAATTGGAGATAAGAGTCTCATAGTCTTTCTTGCCCAGGCTTGCTCTGAATCGTGATTCTCAGATCTCAGCCTCCTGACCAGCTAGGATGACCAGCACGAGCCACCAATGTCTAGCTCTAATTTGCAAGTATTCTTTTTTCTAACCTTAAGTTAACTTTTGTATTGAACATGGTTCTAACTTCATTTATTATTGCATATGGTATCTAAGTATTATAACATATGTTGAGTTATCATACTTAAAATTATTTTGCCAAAATGATGGTTCTAAGATTCTGTTTTGAGGTTTGATTTTTTTTTTCCCCACAGTACTGAGCTAGGCCTTTCCTGCACTGGTTATTTTTTTGAGATACCAGTTGGCACCTGAATCACATCTGCCTGTTTTAGACTCCCTATTGTAGCTGGTATGATAGGCATGTGCCAGCACACCCATATTTCTTCTACTGAAACAATCTCATGGACTTTCTTGCCCAGGCTAGCCTGGAACCACAACTCTCTCCATCTCAGCCTACCACAAAGTTAAGATGACAGTTGTGTACCAATCACACCCAGCTACTAGTTGAGAAGCAGTCTCTGAACTTTCTCCTGGTTGAGACTCCCATTCTCAGACTCCTAAGTGGCTAGTTAACTCACTAACAACTTGAATTACCGCTTGCTTTCTGTACTAAGTGTTTTGGGTTTATTACCTCCATCCTAACATCAGCCCTGGGATATAGATACAAACAGGATCCTTGGTGTAACACTCCTGACTTAAACATGTGCTATGGTGCAGGTATCTCTGCCATAAGCCCCAGAAAGGTCAGAGGCAAAGGTGTGAGTGCCACACCGGAAGGATTAGGATACACTCAGCAGGTGGAAAGAGTGCCAAAAGTGACCTCAGTGAGCTTTGATGCCATGAAAATCTTTTTGTTTTCAGAGCTCTTATGGTTTATTCACTCTTTGCCCATTGTGTGTGTGTGTGTGTGTGTGTGTGTGTGTGTGTTGTTTGCCTTTAGGTATTGGTTGTGTATAATGAAAAATATAATGTATATATTATATCACCAAGTCTATTATTATATATGTAATATATATCATGGGTTCTAATCCCTGTGTTGCATATGCTGTAAGTACTTCTCAGCTTGTTACTTGTCTTGACTTGTCTTTTTGTGTTAAAATTTTCACATTTAAAATTTTTTCTGTTTTAATATGGAATTTCATCAGTGTTTTTCCTTATACTCTGTTCTGTTCTGGTTATAAAGGTGCTCAAAGTCATTACCAATAATCGAAGTGATCTTTTTATGCATAGGTCTCTAATCAGTCTGGAATTCTTATTTTATGCTGTATGGTAGAGCCCCTCCAACCCCCACTTGCACTTTGTAATGTTGCCCTGATGCTGAATCCAGGCTTCCTTTCTGCTTGGATATATTCCTGGGCTCTCTAATGTGTTCCCCTCCTTGCTACAAGTACTATGCCTTTATATAGACCTGGAAAAGATTTTCTAATTGTCCCTCACTCTTCTCCCACTCTGCTTGTCTTAGTTATTATTAAACCATTAGGCTATATGGAAAATTCAGGATCAGTTTGTGGGTTCCATTAAAAATCCTGTTGTTGGGGCTGGGAAGGTGGCTCAGTGGTAGAGTGCTTGCCTTGCATGCATGAGGCCCTGGGTTCCATTCCCCAGCACCACATAAGAAAAAAGAAAAAAGCCGGCAGTAGCGCTGTGGCTCAAGGGGTAGAGTGCTAGCCTTGAGCTGAAGAGCTGAGGGACAGTGCCCAGGCCCTGAGT